CGGCCGCCAAAGGGGGCAGCTCCCAGCAGCTGAGTCATCCCGGCTCCGTCCCGCCTCCATGCCCTCGCCAACCCACCAGCATCTCGCTTCCACCCCGACTGCAGCGCGCGTCCACCCCGCCTCCATCCTGCTTGCATCCTGCCGCCTTCCCGTCTGCATCCCACCCCCATCCCACCTTCGTTCCACCTTGCGTTCCTCCTCCGTCCCGCCTGCATCCTTTCTCCGTCCCGTCTTCACCCTACCAGCGTCCCATCAGCACCTACCTCCATCCCTCCTCCCTCCTGCCAGCGTCCTCTGAGGTTTTAGGCTGGGAAGCCCAGCAAGTTTTGACTCCAACCCATCTCCATCCCACCTTCATCCTACCAGCAGCTATCTCCATTGCTCCTCCATCCTGCCAACATCCCGTGAGGTTTTAGGCTGGGAAGTCCAGAAAGTGTTTACTATGCATTTGTTAATAGACTTTTTTTTTCCTCCCGTTTGGGCTTATTTTCACAGGAAGGGTACACTGCCCAGAAAGGTCATCCTAAGAGTTGATCAGCCAAGGTCATCCAAGATTCATGTCCTTTTCTAAACCACAGGGATGCTAAAACTTCTCTTAATAAGAAAGATCATGTATTTTTCTCTTTTCTTTCTCCAGTCTGAGAGGACATGAGGATAAAATGTATTTTCCACCAGCTTGAGGAATAGATGCACAGTTTTGGCAGAAAATAATAGAAATAGAATAGAACTAGAATAGAAATATAGAATATAAATAATAGAAAAAAAAATATGCCTAATCAGTCAGCTGAAATCCAGCAGCCAACATGGAAAATACTTGGAAAAGGCTGGAAAGGGAAGCACCTGGGACTTATTTCAGGCACCAAAAAGGGGAACCTTGAGGGCTCGCTAGCGGGGAAAAAAGAGCTGCAGGAACGGCCCTGGCCCTGCAGCGTTACGGGCTGCATGGACAGAACAGAAAGGCTGTCTCATTCCTGCCAGCCTGGAGGGATGCAACAGTGCTAGCAGGCGTCTCTATGTCTTCAGGAGGTTTTAGGATGCTTTAAAAGAGCTCATGCTTTATGTTAGGAGAGAAGAAGACACCAAACGGGACAGAAAAAAAGGAATGATTTTCCTCCCTTTTTCTCACCTTAATCTGTGGACGCTGGGCTATTCCAGACTCGCCAGCCACCTGAGAGCATTTCTACACCGTATCAAGTACATCCACTTGCAGTTAGTGAGATCCCTTTCTCTCTGTGTGGTTTTTAAAAGTATTATGCCACATATATGTATTTTTACAAGTAGCATTTGCACATTTAGGAGGATTTAGTATTTATTTCCTGTAGGAATGAATGGATATATATAGTCCTTCCTGCTGCCACTTATAACCAATCACAGGTTTTGGTCACATTCATATTTTAACAACTGATTTCAGTTTAGAAGGATTCCAAGCAAAATGTTCAAAATAATCAGAGAAATCATAGTTGATATGCTTAACTATATATACAAGTATTTATGCAGCAAAAGTGGAGCTACTGTTTCTGTATTTAACCGAATGCTTTGACACACTGTGCGCAGAGGCACTTGGACGGTTACGTATTTGCAGATATAACCTTTTACCCACAAACAATAAAGCCCTCTACTATTTTTTTATTTATGCTTTGGTGAGTAAAATAAAAATATACAAGAAAATAAATCTCTTGTAGCTTGCGTAACCTCTCTCTGACTCCAACTCCCACAGGATTCCCTCTCTGTGCTCCGTACTGGCTCCTGGTTTTGCAATTTTCCGTGTTGCCTGTGAAGTTTTTGTTGACAAAAAAACACAGGCAAAGGAACCTGATTGTTGTCCTGGACTTTGTACAGTCTAGTTCAGAAATACTCAACATTATGGCTGTGTGGACATGGCATTTAATGCCAGGGAACGGAAGTCAGGAAATTATTAATGTTCGTTTTTCCAGTAATTTGCTGCAGGTAACTCTTTGTTTTCCAATACAGTTTTTGGGCCTTGCTTAAGCTCACACCTAGTTTTCTGCTGATTATACTAAAATACCATCTTTCAATATTTGGATGAAGCTCAAAAGCACATTTACCACTTCGCTGCGGTCAAGCGGAGACCCGTTTCCAAATAAATTCCTCAGGACAGTTTTATTTCTGCTCGTATTGAACTTCATCCTGAAAAAAGTACTTTTTTTTTTTTTTAAAGTGCATTTTTAAACTCATACACTTCCTATAAAGCATCTTTTGTTTTGCCCCAGCACTGGGTAATACTGCGCATTGTAGAGTTCTTCCTTTTGGTTGTGACAATATTCTCCACTTTTTGTCGGTGGGGAACAGCTGCCCATTTTTCTGTGAATGCTCCATGAGTTTTTCAAGAACTGAAAGCATAAACTCAAACTTTGTGTAGATTTCTCCTAGTCTTTTTGTTCTCTTTGAGAGGCTATCAAAATTGCCATCTCTTTTTCATGCATTTTGAGCAAAGGAAGTGACAGTTTTTGAGGAGGGTTGTGTATATAAGAAGCTGGATTCAGCCAGAAAAATTTCCCCTTTAGAAATGCT